TTTAAATAGTTTCAATACACAGAGTAATATTTTCTTTCTGGGTTAAATAATAGAATTTGAGTGTCCTTCATGAGTGTGTGGATTAATTTATTTCTTCCAAATATTTGCACCTACACAAATAAATATATTTTACAAATAACATCAGGAATTAAACGTAATATGTTTCAAACCTAAATTATATGTAACAACTTAACTTACTTATAACATGTATCATATATTATTTTTATGTGATTTGTATCAGTAAAAACATGAATTAAATTTAACACCAAACAAATATGTTTTAGCATGACGTATAATCCATAAATTTAACATATTTTACATTGTTATGTCATTCTAAAACATATTTGTTTGATTGAATTTAATTTATATTTTTATTGATACAAGTTACATAAAAATAATATATGGTATATATTACAAGTAAGTTAAGATGTTACATATATTCTAGGTTTGAAACATATTACGTTAAATTAATGACGTTATTCATAAAATATGTTTATTTGCGTAGGTGCAAAGATTTGGAAAAAAGAAATTAATCCATAAACTTAACATATTTTACGTTGTTATGTCATTCTAAAACATTTGTTTGATGTTGAATTTAATTCATGTTTTTACTGATACAAGTCACATAAAAATAATATATGATACATGTTACAAGTAAGTTAAGATGTTATATATAATTTAGGTTTGAAACATATTACGTTTAATTCCTGCTATTATTCGTAAAATATGTTTATTTGTGTAGGTAGAAAAATTTGGAAGAAATAAATTAATTCATAAACTTAACATGTTTTTCGTTGTTATGTCATTCTAAAACATATTTGTTTGATATTGAGTTTAATTCGAGTTTTTATTGATACAAGTCACATAAAAATAATATATGATACATGTTACAAGTAAGTTAAGGTGTTACATACAATTTATGTTTGAAATATATTATGTTAAATTAATGATGTTATTCGTAAAATATGTTTGTTTGTGTAAGTGAAAAAATTTGAAAGAAAAAAATTAATTCATGAACTTAACATGTTTTACGTTGTTATGTCATTCTAAAACATATTGGTTTGATCTTTAATTTAATTCATGTTTTTATTGATATAAGTCACATAAAAATAATATATGATACATATGTTACAAGTAAGTTAAAATTTTACATACAATTTAGGTTTGAAACATATTACGTTTAATTTCTAGTGTTATTCGTAAAATACGTTTATTTGTGTAGGTGCAAAGATTGGTAAGAAATAAATTAATTCATAAATTTAACATGTTTTACATTGTTATGTCATTCTAAAGTATATTTGTTTGATATTGAATTTAATTAATGTTTTTATTGATATAAGTCAAATAAAAAAAATATATGAAACATGTTATAAGTAAGTTAAGATGTTACATATAATTTAGGTTTGAAACATATTACGTTAAATTAATGATGTTATTCATAAAATATATTTATTTATGTAGGTGCAAAGATTTAGAAGAAAAAATTAATTCAAAAACTGACACTAAAAGGAAATGGCATTATTCATTTGAAATAGTGAAAACTTAAAAGGAAATGCCATTAAAAACTGGCATAAACATAATAAACATTGGCTTACAATATTGTAATCAATTAACACCAACAAGAAGACAACATTATATACAATATAATTGTATATAATTACGTTCTTCGTCAGAGAAAAAAAGAAAGAAAGAAAAAAAAACTCATGATGGTTACGATAATGCACAATTCTTTCACTCATCAGGTCCATTATTGATCTTAATCTTCAAAACTCTCTGAACTGGTAGCTTGCAAATTGGACAGCGTTTGGAACCTTAAAACCTTTTGCCTAATGACCCAAGAAAATTTCAATATCACCATTTTTTATTATTCTCCTTGTGAAATTCTTTGACAAATACATAATTAAATAACACACAAAAAAAAAAAAAAAAAAATAGAGGTGCAACTAGTATAAATTAATGTTTAATTTTTTTGGAGTAATTTGACTCTATTTTCAATGCAAAAAAAAATTTTAAGCTAAAAAATATTATAAATGATAAAATGAAATAAATGAGATAATGATGCAGGTATAAGAAAAAACATTATATATAAAAAAAAAAAAAAAAAAAACAATAAGAAAGCCTAACAAATTAGGCTCTACCAACAAGTTAAAAACAAGATATTAATACGTAGAATTAGTTTTGCAAGTAATAAAAATAGATAAAAATTAATCTAAACATGCAACTTTGCCGAAAAATCTTCCTTGCTCTGTTTCTTTGCCGATTATTTATGTATTTTGCCGAAATCTTGTTCTACTTTGCCTTGTCTGAAACAATAGCTATGAACTTGCTCTGGTTTGGATTTGAGGAATATTTGATTTTGAAAGTGATTTTCTAATTTGATTTTGAGGAAACAAATATATAGCAGACTTTTGGGGGGAAATGAATTTTTGTTTTTGGGGGGGAAATTGAAGTTTCAATCTTTTCTGTATATGGGACCCACTAAGTCAAATTCATATGAATAAATTAATTCAATAATACAGTGTATAGAAATGATGTAAAAATAACATGTATATATGGTAAATACAGTTTTACCAATAGTGCCACATTTTTAATTGTTCTATATTACTGAGTATATATGTATATATATTTCATATTTATATCAAATTTTATAGAGAAAACTAAAGTTAATGTGCTACCGTTTATGCTTTCAATATTATCCAATAAATTTGAGAAAAAAAGTTAAGAGTGGGTGAGGCACCACAAAATTACGCATTACTTAAAAATTAAAATATGTAGAAGACCAAACAAAGCACACAATACCACAATTCAAAAAACAAAACGAAAAAAAAAAAGAAAAAAAGTAGGAGAAGTTTGAATTTTAAGAGCTCTCTCACATTTTATGTGGGTGGGGATTTGATTTTCAATTACTGCATTTTGGGCGAGACTAGCTGAGAATATGTGATCCAAATATATATATATATATATATATATATATAATCACCACTGAAATTTTCAATTAACTAATTGAAAAACTATAATGATTTTTGAAATCCAATTGGTTGATGTGATAAAATTACAAAGAACTTAATTTGAGAGGAATTTCTTCTATTAATTTTTTCAGAAGTTGATTGGATTGAGAGGATGAGACAAAACAAAATGAGACTAGCAGCTCTGCATGCATGTATAGATAGTTTGATAGAGGAAGTGGAGGACAAGGATTTCACTTCTCCATTTTCATTGCTCTTCAACACAAAAGAGAGAGAGAAATAAAGTGACGAAATGGTAAGAAATACTAAATTAAACACCTTCTTTGTTATGTTCTTCAGTGCCTAGGAGGAGCTTTGTTTGTGAGAAATTAATGTTATTGTGCATCCTATATTTCTCTATTTAATCAAAATTCAATTTATCTAAGAATTTTTTTTATATGTGTTCACAACTTCAGTATTATGTATTATTTTTTAAGTATGTATAAAGTAATTCTTCCCATAAATTTTCTATAAATTTTGAATATCTGTCATTTGTATTACATGTACATGAGTTTTCTAATTTACAAAGTGGTTCCACATTCAAAATTCTCCAACATGTGGTATCCATCAAAAGTACTATGTGGGGCCATTTTCATATATTCAAAGGGCAGTGACATGTAACTTCTATCTTAAGCTGAATTAGCAGAGAAGAAAGAACCCAAGTGATTGAAGCAAGAAGACCAACCATCTGCATCATGTAAACATTTCTTCTTTGAGCTCTGTCACTCTCCGTGTTTTCCTTCCAATCAAAATTCCCATAGACACGGAATTGTTTTGTACTGTTCACTGTTTGACTAGAACAAATTCTCAATGATTTTATAAACTTGTTATAATTTTATTTTATTTTATTTTTTGGTTAGAAGGTAAGCTTGTGTATAAAAAATGGAGAATTGTACAAGAAGCCCCAATTATAGTAGGGACGAAAACAAAGAAACAACTCAACCAATAACTACAACCAGCAACACATTAGAGAGTGAACACAAGTTCAGCAGCAGCAACATACAAAGTGGACTATTGACAATCAGTAACATACACCCTTGACAGATACACCACCCATGACAGACAAGTGACAACAACAACATTTTATACCTCACCTTAGCAACCAGCTTTGAGAATGGGAGGTAGAACAGGCCTGCAGAAAAAGGCTATAGAGGTCTTGCTCTGTGGAAATGAGAGTCAGATCTAAGGTCCTTCTTAGGTTGATTGAAGCAAGCTTTGCTCTGGTGCAAGACTTAATCTGAGAGATTATATGCTGTGGAGGTGCTTCAACGTTTCTGAACACCCTTGCATTCCCTTCCCTGCCAAAGGAAGTAGATTGCAGCAGACAACAGGAGTTTGTGTGTGTAGGTGCAAAATTCCGCTCAACCAATAATGATTGAGAAAAATCAAACAACTCACTCAAAAACAATAAGAATAAATAAGAATAGTGTATAGAGAAGCGTAGAATTGCTTGATCTCTTTATTGGAGGTCTGGGCCTCTATTTATACACAAATAGTATAGTAGAATCATGGTAGGACTCGCATTGCTTGTCCTCCAATCCTTTTCCATGTACAATATTCTCCTTAAATGGAGTTCTTTTCTTTGTATAACTCTTCCTATGTAAAATATCTCTCACACGGAAACTTCCTTTGTGTTGAGTCCTTTTCTTATTAGGACTGGACCATAGATGGTGTACTTGGGCCGGATGTAATATGGGTTGGATGACTTCATGAAGGGGCTGGTACTTCCAATAAGGTGATATTGGGCTGGTTAAGGATTTCATCCAGTGTTGAAGGTCCAACGTAAGTGGTATTGGGCTGAAAGATAATATAATTTGGGCTTGATCCGGACGGGCCTCATATATCCTTGGAATGTAGACATATGTAGTGATGACGTGTATGCTTCTTATTGGAGGGAGTTTTTTTCCCTCCACACTTTGCCCCAAATTTCATTTTTAATTGAGTGACGGCTCCCATTAGAGAGGGAATTGAAACCGGTTTTTTACTTTGCTTCAGAGACGGTTCGAGGACTTTCATTATTACTCCGTCGTACAAGATTCTGCAAGAGTTACATTCGCCCTAGCTGCACTCCTGCGTTCTTCATTCCATCGCTTTGTCAGGTTAGTTTTTTTTCGCATCTTTCTCTTTAATCTTTCATTATGAGTACTTCATCTACTCCCGAACGTATAGACATTGGGGATTCTGAATCCACACCTTCATCTTCCCCCGTTCGCATTAGGGTTCCCCCTCCTAGGGTTTCTACAGATCGTCTTTCGTTGAATCAATTAGGTACTTCCCCCCTTCCAGCCGAGACATCCACCTCAGGCTCTGATAATGTTCTTACTCATGAAAAGAGGAAAGCAATCATCTCTATTCGCCGCATCAAGTTCTCTGTTGCTTCGGTAATGGAAGAATTTGATATTCCTGAGGGAGTAGAAATTGTAGAATATCCCGAGGGTGCCGATTTTACCTCCGGCGAGGGAATTGAAGAGAGTGAGTTGCTTCTTTCGGTCGGGCATCTTAGCGCCCTCCGGTTCCCTCTTCACCCCTTCTATCATTTAGTTTTCAACAAGTTAGGTCTTGCCCCCTTCAGGTAAATCCTAATTTCTTTCGCATTCTTGGCACTGTTGGTGCATCGGAAATTAGAGGCTCTGGATTTGACCTTTGCCGACCTTTTGCTTACTTATAATATATCTAAGTATGGGACCGAGCCTGGTCGCTTCTTTTTTACCTCTACCCTTCATCAGAGGATATGCACGAACCTTCCTTCATCCGAGAAGAAGTGGAAAGAAAGGATGGTTATAGTTAAAGGAAAATGGTTCGTGCCCCAATCAATTACGCTCCCCATCCCGCGCAAGTTCGGGAAGTTAGGTATAGAATACTTAACCTCCCTTCATACCAAGTGTTCTGGCTGTTTTCCTTACCAAGTCTTAATGTTTCGCCGTACTTATGAGTTTCTTGGTGTTTTTTCAGGTACATTCCCATCCTCCGCAGCAAGGAACAGACTTTCTTTTCTTGAGGAACGAGTCTGGAGTGACCCCTCGCCTATCGAGGACCTGCTAACTTCTTCAAACCTCAAGGATATTGCCTCCAGTGCTGTTGCTGCAGACCTCATGGATCTGTCTCTACCATCCTTTGATAGTTTCCCCATGACTGAAGAGGAGATACGGAGGGCTGAGGCTTTAAAAAAGAAAGCCGAAGATGCCCAACCCTTGGTCGTTATTAGGTCTACTGAGGGTGAGGTGGAGGCTGAGGAACCACCAATGAAGAAATCTCGCCTCAACCCCCCATCCTCTGGCAAGGGCAAGGTCTCTTCTAAAAGCAGAGGGAAAAAGGCTGGAGAGGCCGAACCTGAAGATGAAGTCAGGACATATGTTCAGGCTGAAACTGGGGCTCCTTGGACTCCTTCCTTCACCAGGGCTGACAAGTCAGTCCTGCATTCAGGGGATTCTGTGATCACAGACCCTTCAGCTGCATTGGCTGTGGCCCGAGGGATGTGGCTCCCAAAGGACGAGGAAGCCATCAGCCAAATGGGGTTGGAACAACTACTCCCTTCTGCCCCGGTCCGAGTCATAGAGGTTCGTATTGCTCCTTCAGAATTATGTTACTCTTGCTTACTTATGTTTCCATTTATGCTCATATTTGTTCATCTGTTATCTTTTTATACAGAGTCTATACCACATCATGGCCCTCTGCGCCACTGCTGAAGCCCAATCCCTCTCTATCAAGAAGCTGGAGAAGGATCTTGACAATGCAGAGAAGAGAACCACCACTGCCTCTACCAATCTGAAGATAGCTACTGAAGCTAAGGATGTGTATAAGAGGCAGTTGGCTGCCTCTGAGGCTAAGGTGGATTCTCTTTAGGCCGAAATTCAACGCCTGACCGAGGCTCTTACTACTTGCTTCAAGGCGGGGAAGCAAATGCAGGGGCGCTACTCCTGTCTGGCACACCTGGCTAGTCTGGCTATAATCAGGGCTCAGGCCCTAAGACAATGGATCCGGACGCTTTTGACAAGCAGGTGGGGGTGCACTTCCCATATGATGAAGGGCCACAGGCTTTGGAAGCTGAAATCTGCTTTGCCGAGATGGTGAAGGCGCACCTGAAGGGTACTCCTAGCTCTTCTGCCCCTGCGGCTTCAATTCCTCCTACCCCAAGTCCTACTGTAGTGGATGCTTTTGAATCTACTCCCTTCGATCCGAAGAGGAAGTAGAACCATGTATTTTGTTTTTATTGACAGTATATTTGGGATAATAAATATAATTTTTGTTTTAGGCTTTTAATACCTGATTTGTTTTTGCTGTATGCTTTTGATATTGTTCATACTTTTCTGACTGGTAATGTTTTTATGACAAACAAAACACATTGTCTTTATGCTTCGGATTTATGCTATTCGAGAAAAAGTAAGGATGATGGGAAGAAGGAGATCCTTTTAACAGTTTAATTGACATCTCAGGATGATTCATATGGACAATGATCTAACTGTTAAGTGAACTCTTCTTGCCTTTGACTTGCCTGCAGTAGACGTATACATACTCTTTCTTTCTCATGTGTTCCTGATGTGGGGTGGATCATGATGAACTTATGATATATCCACAGGGTATTAAACACTTGGAGTCCGGAGGAAAAAGTTCTAATCCGGCCACCAGAGGTCTGAAGTGAATTGTTCCTTGGCACTGAGTCGTGGAAGAATATTGCTGAATAGGACACTTAGGGTCCGAAGCTGTCTTGGACACTTAGGATCTGAGGCGAATTGTTCCTCAGCACTGAGTCGTGGAGGAATATTGCTGAATAGGACACTTAGGGTTCGAAGCTGTCTCGGACACTTAGGATCCGAGGCGAATTGTTCCTCGGCACTGAGTCATGGAGGAATATTGCTGGATAGGACACTTAGGGTCCGAAGCTGTCTCGGACACTTAGGATCCGAGGCGAATTGTTCCTCGGCACTGAGTCGTGGAGGAATATTGCTGAATAGGACACTTAGGGTCCGAAGCTGTCTCAGACACTTAGGATCTGAGGCGAATTGTTCCTCGGCACTGAGTCGTAGAGGAATATTGCTGAATAGGACACTTAGGGTCCGAAGCTGTCTCGGACACTTAGGATCCGAGGCGAATTGTGTGTTCGTTCTATTTTTAAACGATGTGGGACAATACCAACCACCCATAAAGATCCACTTGGCATGATTGCTTTCTTTCGCCAATCAGCGTTTACTCTTTGCATAACAACAATGAAGTTGATTAAGGGAAATTTTGACAATCTCAAAGAGGGAAACTTGAATTTCATTAAACGAAATAAATTGAAATGAAAAACTTGTGATTGAAATTATTAAAAATTGCCAACTGTAACTGTAATAATCAACTGTAATTGTAATAGTCGTACCACTGTGGTAACATCACGGCATATAGGTATGGATCCCCCTTGTTATAAAAAGAGAAACATACATACGATATTGACAATGTTGGCTAGTGGTAATACCTTTTGAGGTGGATGGCATTCCATGGATGTGCAATAGGACACCCATCAACTTCAGCCAACCGGTAAGCTCCCTTCCCTACCACTTCGGTAATCCTGTAGGGTCCTGTCCAGTTGGGTTCCAACTTTTTAACATACGCTGTCCCTGCTTCATAACCCAATCGCCAACCAAGAACCTACGGTACCGGACACACTTGTTATAACTGTTACACACCTGCTGTTGGTATGCCGCGAGCCGAATTGCTGCGGCATCTCTCCTTTCGTCCACAAGATCAAGGCTATGTTCGAGTTGTTGCTCATTGTTCCCTTCTAGTACCAAGGATGTCCGAAGGGTTGGGATTATTGACTCGGTAGGAATGACAGCTTCGGATCCATATGCCATAGCAAATGGGCTTTCTCCCGTGGGTCGTCTTGGAGTGGTTCGATAGGCCCAGAGCACTTGGGGGAGATTCTCGTACCATTTTATCTTCAATTTCTCCAATTTTTTCTTTAAGCACCCGAATATCGTGCGATTACTTTTTCAACTTGCCCATTGCCTTGTGGATGACTAACTGCAGCCAATTTTTGCAGGATTCCATGTTCGTTAAAGAACTTTCTTGTACTTCTGTTATCGAGGTTCTTACCATTGTCCATTACGATGACTTTTGGTACCCCAAACCCGCAAATAATGTTGCTCCAAATGAAATGCTTTACTTCTTCGTGGGTAACACTAGAGAAGGCTTCAGCTTCCACCCACTTGGTGAAGTAATCCGTAGCCAGAAGCATATGCTTCTTTTTTTCCACAGTTTTGGGTAACGGTCCTACTACATCAATCCCCCATTGGGCGAACGGCCATGGATTAGCCATGGCGTGCAAACCTTCGGCATTCCGAGCCAAGTATGGCCAAAAATAGCCTTGGGTTAGAATTTTGTGTGCAAGGGATCTTCCTCCCGAGTGATTTCCCCAATCTCCTTCATGAATTTGTTTTAGAATTGTGAGAGCCTCAGTAGGGGTTAAACACTTGAGATAAGGACCGGAGAATGACCTTCGGTATAACTGGTTATTGATGATTGAGTATTTAGCCGCGGTAAGCCTAAGCTTCCTTGCCTCAGCTTTTTGATTTGGGAAAACTCCCTCCTTGAGGTAGGCCTCGATTGGATCAATCCAGCATGGCTCGCGTGGAACTTCCGGGATCACCATCACCTCTTGCCGGGGATTAATGCTAGGTTCCTCGAGGACATCGATTGGAACAAGCCGAATCAACTCTTCGTCTGAAGATGATGCGGCTGCGGCCAATCGATCTGCATCGGCATTTTCATCTCGTGGTACCTGATGGAATTCGATTTGATCGAACTCCCGGATGGCACTCTCTACAACATCTTTGTATGACTTCATACGTTCCTCCTTGGGATAATAGTGCCCTGTCACTTGATTGATCACAAGCTGTGAGTCACTAAAAACTTTTAAACACCGTACCTGCAGCTGTTTAGCTAGCCGAAGTCCGGCAAGCAACGCCTCATACTCGGCCTCGTTATTAGTAGCTGGGAAATCTAGCCAAATTGACTGCTGCAGCTTGGTACCCTCGGGTGTTGTGATGTCAATCCCGGCCTCTGCCCTTTTCTGGTTGGAAGAGCTATTAACCCGTAACTCCCAGTACGGCTCTTGAAGTGTCGGCTCCTCAGGTTGATCTTCATACTCCAGTAGGAAATCCGCTACTGACTGCCCCTTGTGAGATACCTTTGGTGCATAGGTGATATCAAAAGAGCTAAGTTCAATAGCCCATTTTGTAATTCGACCAGACAAGTCTGGTTTAGCTAGGATAGACCGTATAGGGTGATTTGTAAGTACCACTATGCTGTGAGATTCGAAGTAATGTCGAAGTTTCCTCTTGGCATAAATTAACGCCAGGATTATCTTTTCCATCTTGCTGTACCGTGTCTCGGCATCAGTCATCGTTTTGTTTGTGTAAAAGATTAGGTGCTGAATCTTGCCTCCTTCTTTGATCAACACTGCGCTTGTTGCTACAGCTGATACTGCCAAGTACAGGATGAGAGTGTCTCCGGGCGTTGGAGCAGAAAGGATTGGGGCTTTTGTCATGTAGCTTTTCAATTGATTGAGAGCTTCCTGCTGCTGAGGTCCTCACATATCTTTGTTTTTGGATCGAATAGCATCAAAGAAAGGTTTATACTTATCAGATAATCGGGATATGAACCGGCTGAGGGCCGCAACTCGGCCAGTTAGAACTTGCACTTCCCTGCGGGTTTTTGGCTCTTGGTTTTGTATGAGTGCCTTTACCTGAGCTGGGCTTACTTCTATTCCTCTTTTATTTACAATGTGCCCGAGGAACTGTCATGAAGAGACGGCGAAGGAGCACTTGGTGGGGTTCAGCTTCATATTGTACCTCTTGAGAGTATCAAAGACCTCCTGGAGGTGCTTCGAGTGATCCTCTTTCCGTATACTGTTGACCACCATGTCATCGATATAGGCTTCAACTGTATTCCCCAGTAGATTATTGAAAATTTTATTGACAAGTCGCTGGTAGGTGGCTCCGGCATTCTTTAGACCGAAGGGCATCACTCTGTAGCAGTAAGTGCCCGTCTATGTGATGAAAGCGGTTTTCTCCTCATCTTCAGGATTCATGGGAATCTGATTATAGCCGGAGTATGCATCGAGGAATGTGAGCCTCTCATAACTCGTCGTAGCATCCACCATTTGATCAATCTTGGGCAGAGGGAAGTTATCTTTTGGGCAAGCTTTGTTAAGGTTGGTATAATCTACGCATACCCTCTATTTCCCATTCTTCTTTTGAACGACTACTACATTTGAGAGCCATTGTGGGTATTGCACCTCTCGAATGAATCCTGCTTGTAATAGTTTATTTACTTCCTCGGCTATTATGCGATTCCGTTCAGGTGCGAACCGTCGGTGCCTCTGCTTGACTGGCCTGAATTCTGGGTTAACCCTCAAACTATGGTATGAGACCGTAGGATCGACCCCTACCATGTCCGAGTGATCCCAGGCAAAGACATCCGAATTGCACCGAATGACCCTGATCAATGCTTCATTCTCTTCAGTTGTGCAAGATGAGCCAATGTAGGTGACCTTCTGAGGGTCTCCGAGGACTACCTTTATAGCTTCGAGGGACTCCTCGGTAGGTGCTTCAGCCTCGGTTTCTTCCTCTGCCTTGAGATACTTGGGCAGAGGATACTGTAACTGCTATTTGATTGCGTCTTTGGGATTCGCCTCTGACTGAGGTGATTTCGACGCCTTCTTTGCTTCATATAGCGTTAGCATGTAACATTCTTTTGCAGCAACCTGGTCTCCCCAGAGGTCGATGACCTCCCTGCCATCTGGGGATAAACACCTCATTACTTGATGAAGGGTAGAAGGGACTCCGTTCATACGATGGATCCAACCTCTCCCCATAATGAGGTTATAAGATGGATGAATCTCCGTCACGACAAAGTTCTCCTTCAGAGTCCTCTTTGCTGCAGTAACGGATAGATCAATCACCCCAAGCGAATTCACCTTAGTACCATCAAACCCCATTAGGGGGCTGGAAGTTGGCCTGATGGACGATGGTGAAACCCCCAGCTGATCGAAGGCTGCTTTTGTAATGATGTTGGCGCTACTTCCCGGATCTATCAGCACCCTCCTGATCATATAATTCGCCACTAGGAGGCTGATGACCAAGGGGTCTTCATGCGGGCGCTGGACTCTAGACAGATCATTGTTTCCCAATCCAATGTTGATGCTGCCTGGCGCAACCGTGTTTACCGAAGACAATCTTCGTAACTTATGAGCCTCTCTCAGCCTGGATCTGTACAACTCTTCAGACTCTTCATTATCCTCTGACCTTCCGTGTATGGCATGGATAACCTTTACCTGACCGCCCTCTACCCGTCGAGGGTTAACCTCCCGAGGTTTTACGTACTCCTTCGTGGCGAGATACTCCACCAACTCTCCTCTCGCTATCATGCTTTCTACCTGTCGCTGAAGGGACCTGCAGTCATTGGTGGTATGCCCATAGTCTCTATGGTAGGCACAATGTTTGCTTTTGTCCCTCTGCTCCAAGGGTTGTTTCATGGGCTGAGGAGTTGCGAACCTCGTCTTATTCTCTTGGAATAGACGCGCTAAGGTAGTACGGAGAAGGGTAAGCCTATCCTCTGTCCTTTGCCTTTTCTCAGGCGCTTGGGTAACTCGTATCGTTTGCTTGCCGGAGTGTCTCAAATTGGTGCAAGAACTCCTCTCGCATCTTCTGCATCAATTCTATCTGTTGATTCATTGCTGACTCTCCGTTTGACATTCCAGATACGACTAAGGATTTGATTTGAAGAATAAGTGGGAGTATATTTTTATACGATTCCCACAGACGGCGCCAAAGTGTAGGTGCAAAATTCCGCTCAACCAATAATGATTGAGAAAAATCAATCAACTCACTAAAAAATAATAAGAATAAATAAGAATAGTGTATAGAGAAGCGTAGAATTGCTTGATCCCTTTATTGGAGGTCTGTGCCTCTATTTATACACAAATAGTATAGTAGAATCATGGTAGGACTCGCATTGCTTGTCCTCCAATCCTTTTCCATGTACAATATTCTCCTTAAATGGAGTTCTTTTCTTTGTATAACTCTTCCTATGTAAAATATCTCTCACACGGAAACTTCCTTTGTGTTGAGTCCTTTTCTTATTAGGACTGGACCATAAATGGTGTACTTGGGTCGGATGTAATATGGGTTGGATGACTTCATGAAGGGGCCGATACTTCCAATGAGGTGATATTGGGCTGGTTAAGGCTTTCATCTAGTGTTGAAGGTCCAACGTAAGTGGTATTGGGCTGAAAGATAATATAATTTGGGCTTGATCCGGACGGGCCTCATATGTCCTTAGAATGTAGATATGTGTAGTGATGACGTGTATGCTTCTTATTGGAGGGAGTTTTTTTCCCTCCACAGTGTGTCAAAAAGCTCAAGTGATCCATGGATTCACAATCTGTGCAACACAAATAACACTTATTGACATAATGTTGGTTGAGCATTGGCTTGGAGTCAAAAGTGTAAAGCCTTCCTCGCACAGCTAGCCAAAAAATACAACTGTGTTTGGGTACATTATGTTTAAACCAAACAAGATGCTTCCATTCAAATGAAGGAGCTGAGGAGAGAAGTAGGACACGGTGTCCTAATTAGATGATGGTGAAGGAAGAGAATGGAGCTGATCAAGGAAGTCTTGAGATTGGAGGAAGTGTGGGTACTGCACTGAGGGTGGAATACGCCAATGATTTGTGGAAATTAACAAATCATTTAAAAAATAAAATAAAAACAATTAAACCCAATTAAATCAAACAAATCATTTAAAAAAAAAAAATTAATTAATACCAATTAATAAATCATTTATAATATCGAGATATTAAACTAATCTCCCAGCCCCAGCTTCCTCTTCAATGGACTCTAAGAAATGGATTGCTTCTCCCCCTAGTTCCTACTCATTTAGTCACACCGTCTTTCATTTGATGGGGGACCTTCCCATGTCCCATGGCACAATCTAGTTTGGAACTCCGTCCATTCCTAAAATGAAGTTCATCATGTGGTTAGCAGTTCAATCCAAATTGCCAACTCTTGATAGCAAATCAATGTCCAAGCATATTAATATTTGCCTCTCTGTAAGGTGTCCATGGAATCTCATGACCACATTTTCTTAAACTGCTCTTTTGTCTCTCCATTGTGGCGTTTTATCAAATACAGGTGCAGCATCTTTACAGATTTAAGAAATTGGGAAGCTTTGGTTCAGTGGGCAAGTGTTCAATGGAAAGCTAACAACTCAATTAATCAACACAAAAAATTGGGGCTTTCAGCTTTAGTGTACCATACCTGGGAGGAGAGAAATGCCAGGATTTTCAGAGGAAAGAAGGCTTCTCAGAGAGCTGTTTGTGCCAAGATCTGCTCAACCATCTCTGCGATTTTGAATCTGGGGTGTCTTCGTGACTGTGCTTCTTCAAGAGCCATCCTTAAGGATTGGAACATCTCCCCGTCTCGCTGCAGACCTCCTCCGCGGCCACCGGACTAAGATTTTGGGTGGTTTAGCCGCCTCTCCTTGATACCACCGGAAGTTCTCTTGTGTATGGCAATTGCCGTTAATGGCAGTTACCACTTGCTTTCAATGTTTCGTTGTTGGACTCGCCCTTTGGGCTTTTTATGTTTGTAATTTTCTTCCTTGGCCCAACGGTCCATTGTAAAATTCTCCTTCAAAAATTGCTTTAATTTTCGAAAAAAAAAAAAAAGATAATGAAGTTGTTTTTGTTACATTTATTCCTGACAAGACCGTTACTGATTTTCTTTTTGAATACCTAATTTTAGACTTATATACTGAAAGATCGAATGTCAAATTTGGGGACTTTTTGACAACAATTTCAATAATCTTGATGTACTACTGCTTATTAATACAATTTATATTTATATTGAACCAACAAGTAACATGTTTTATGGCAATTAATAAACCCAACTCTGTAAATATTATGCAATACGACTTAGGCAAGTCATTATTCAACTCTCTGAGTCAACAAGTGAGCAACGAACAGGGTCCTCTTTAACCTCGGCAATTATCAGCCGATGCCAGCAACATTTTTGTATTCTGATGATCGTTTCTCCAGCGCATCCCATCTTCTCCATAGTTTGATTCATTTTTGAAGAATTTGTACGAGGTTTTTGTCTCTATCAAACTTGTTCTTGGGTTTTGATTGTGATTTGGATACCTATATATATTTTTTGTATGGTTTTGTATTGTAGTAGATCTGACAGTCTACTTCTGAATTGAGTAGTTATTTTTTTATGTCCACCAACTGTTTGACAGGACGTGCCTATGAGCTTTGTTATGCTGTTCAGTGCCTATGAGCTTTGTTTGTTAGAAATGTTTATGTGTGTCCTATTTTCCATATTTAATCAAAATTCAATTTATCTACCAAAAAGATTAAATATGTGTATTCACAACTTCAGTGGTATGTGTGATTTTAAGTTTGTCTAAAGTAATTCTTCTTCTAGTTTTTCTATAGATTTCGAATATATTTTTTCATTTGCATTATATACATTATCCATTGTATCAGTTTTCTAAACAAGTGGTTCCACATACAAAATTATTGAACACATAGTGTTTGTCAAAAGTACTATGTGGGAACCCAACTGATTGAAGCAAGAAAACCAACCATCTGAATCTCTGTGCTGTAAATTATTTTCTTGATACAAACTTCTCAATTATCTCATGTACTTGTTATTATTTATTATTTATTTATTTATTGTGTTTATGCGTAACACATACTCATTTTGTCTGTGACCGCAAATTCTTAAACCTTACAACCCCAGAAAGTTCAGGAGACACACTGAATACAAAGTTTGGTGGTTCTCATGTCATCTATATATATATATACACACACACACACACACACCCTAATATATATCCTATAATTTTTTAACCATGGCGTTGGTGTTATCCATTTTTGCATTACAGAACCATGGCTTCAATATAAAACCATGAGGAATCTTCAAAGAAAGTGAAAAAACTTCACAAGAAGGGAGATAGGATCAGCAGTTTGACAGACTCTCTACTTGTTCACACTCTCTCTTTCCTTCCTACAAAATACACAGTTGGAACCAGCACACTCTCATCAAGATGGAAACACCTATGGGCTTCTGTTCCCACTCTAGACTTCGATGGCAACTTGACATTTAAACCTCATTCAGATATGACTTCTTCCAACTTCATGAACTTTATTGATCGAGTTCTTTTCAATCATGAATCGTCCTGTATTCAGAAGTTTTGTTTGAAATGTAATGAAAAAACTGATTTATTTAGAATATATACATGGATAAGTGTAGCCATAAAACGTGGTGTTCAAGAACTTGATATACATTTTGGATCACGTGGGCAAGATGTTGACTTACCTATAAGCCTCTTCACTTGCCCAACATTGATGGTCTTGAAACTGGGAAATGAAGTTAGATTTAATGTTCCTTGCTCTTCCTATTTCAGAAGTCTCAGGATTCTCCATGTTTCATTTGAGTATCTTGACAATGACTGGATGCAAAATCTCGTGCGTAACTGCCCTGTTCCTGAAGATCTGTCAATAGAAGGAATGGTTCCGAATAATAATGAAGAACTAATTATTGATTTCTCCACCCCTGCTTTGAAGAGTTTAAAACTAGACTTTGATGCAGAAGAGTATTCGTGAGTTTATGGTGACAAAGTTGTGGTCAATGCACCAATTCTTGAGTATCTTAATCTCTGAGATGATTACTTGCCTTGCTATGTGCTAGGGGAGCTAACCTCGCTGGTTAAAGCAGATGTTGATGTTGGATGCTGCAGTAAAAAAATTGAGTCAACCAAACAACATGCTGATCGTGTTCTTGTGATTCTCAGGGAAATTTGTACTGTCAAATATCCATCTCTCGGCGCTGATACCATGGGGGTAAGCTGGCAATTCTATTCTTGATATTATTGAGTGTTGAATCCCTTAGAAGTTTTTTAAGATTTTTATTTTTGAAATTTGATCTAGGTTATATATAGCACTTTCATGACTCATCTTCATGTCTGTCTTATTTAGGCTCTCGACTATGCTCGTGACAATGAACTGCTTTTGTTCACTAATTTGATTCGTTTGGAGCTGCATGTTAACGATTGCTATGGCTGGTAACGTCTACTACACTTGCTCAATAGCATGCCTAACCTGGTATATCTTATTTTCAAGAAATCGGGGGAGAGTAATCTTATGACGGAACATTTTGAAATATATGTAGTTTTTTATTCACAATTTCTGAACTTTGTTATTTCTGTCTCTAGTGTTGGATGCACGATGAAGATAATGCTTCTGAGGATTTCAATTTTGTTGAACAAGAAGTGGTGCCTTGTTGTCTGTCGATGCATCTTCAAGAAATTGAAATTTCTGGAGTTAGGGGGCTGAGTGGTGGGCTGAGGCTGATGGAGTATTTTCTGACAAATGGCAGTGTATTGCATAAGATGACAATCAATTCTTGTAATTCAGTAGAAAAGCAAGAGAGAGAGGAGCTTCTCAAGAAACTGCTAATGTTTCGAAGAGGTTCAATAAACTGTCAAATTTTATTTTTGTAAGATCTTTTCTGTCACGCGATCACGAGGGCTTGTATCTTTAGTTGCACCTGTTCTTTCTGTTTTTGTTACATTTATTGGTGAGAAGGCAGTTACTGATTTTCGCTTTGAATACCCATTTTAAATCCTTCTATCATGTCAAATTTGGAGAACTTTCAGTAATCTTTGTTGTAGTGCTTATTAATGCGATTTATATGAAAATTGAAGCAACCAACAGTGCTTTTGACATTAGACCATGCACAATAATCTGTCAATGATTCCAGGTTATTGAATAAATCTCCTAATTTTGTACACTTGTTCAATTTTAAGCTTTTATCGGAGTAGTCCATATAAGCTTAAAATGAATCAAATTAGAAAATATGGAGAAAATAAGGCCAATTGTATCAGAGTAGAGCAAGAACCATGCACCAAAATCCATGACAGAACACCAGAATGCAAGGGAATAAACCCTAAGCTGAAAAACATATTGCATCCCTAGCTCCATCACCATATACGAGGACTGAAAACCCAACGAATTAAAACGGATAGAATACGAAAACCAAGTCAAAGAAAACCAGAACCCCAAGCTGAAAAAAGACCAACCCTGATCATCAAGCTGTAGAACCAGAATTTGGATGTCACTTTACGGTACTCATGGATTGGATTGAAAATTGCATCAGCTTAGGACCAAAGACAAAAAATTATGCTGGAAAAGGACTGCATGAATGGTACAAGTAAGAAACAAGGCCAATTGTTTCTCGTGCTTGACAGGTCGCGTCTTTTAAGCATACTACTTGTTTTGCTTACCTCCAACATCCACAGAGGTAGAGAATGGTACGAGCCTAATGCGTATTTGAAACAGAAGTAGATATGTGGCATGGTCTAATGTTTAAGACAGTAAAATTTGACAGGTTACTGAAACCCTCTGAACACCAGCAATTTACTGAGAAACTCCCTCTCTTGCTATTCTTCGATTTATCGTCATCTTTTGCTATACCTTGCATTTCTCAAAAAACAACCTCTACAGCTTCTGCTCCAGCTCACAACTCTTACCCTGAAATCCGGTAATTTCAATTTCTTGAAGATGAATAGACATACAACAAGGCACCACTTCTGGTTCAATAAATTTGAAATCCTCGGAATCTTTATGTTCACACTGCTACAAACAGAAATCAGAAGTTCAGAAATTGTAAATCAAAACTGAAAAAAAAAATATGCATACTTCAAATTGTCCCTTACATCATTCATCAATTTCTTCAAAACAAGATATACCAGGTTAGGCATGCTATTGAGGAAGTGTAATAGACGTTTCCAGCCATAGAAATTGTAACATTAAGCTCGAAATGAATCAAATTAGAAAATATGGAGAAAAAAAAAAAAAAAAAATCAAATTAGAAAATAAAGGCAGTCCACCATCATCAGCATAGTCGAAAGCCTTAATAAGATACAAACATAATGAGAGTTCTATATATAAGAGAATAAAAAAAAAAAAAAAAAAATTAACTTTCAAGAAGAGCTTACCCCTACACTAGGGGCAGGGATGGAGCCAGGATTTCAAGTCACTAGTGTGCAATATATATATATATATATACATAACAAATATAAAATACAAAAGAAGAAAAAGAAAATTATTCAAATATGCATGTTAAAATTAGAATGAACTTTCAAATTTATTTGATAGCATATAATCTGATATGATACTTTACATTTAATTATCATTCTAAAAAGCTTCAATCTCATGTTACACTACCATAAAGCATTCATTAGTACAAGGACATGGTAAGAGTAGAAGAAACCTCATATCATTAAATATCAATTTGTCAAAAAATAATGAAATAAATTTATATATTAGAGATAACAGATGTAAAATAAATGGGATATAAACCAACTTGCTCCTATCAATATCAGATACGTTACTCAGCCAAGCCCTTTCTACAATCACCTACAATGCAGAATGAATTACGTTAAAACCAAACTTAAAAGGAAAGAAAAGAACACTAAAGCATGCAAGTGCATGAATTAACCGTGAAGACGATATCTTACCGGTATTCCATCCGGATACTTGTTTCTGATGCGTTGAAATTCTGCCGTCCTCGTTGCTGGCAAATGGAAAACATACAAACTTTTACATACATAAAAAGAAAAGGATAGGTGAACTGTCATTATAGATAATTGCAAGATATATATATATATATATATATATATATATATATATAACCAAGTGGATTAAATAAGAAGTAAAGAACGATGATCTAATTTAATTCTCAATACTGTGATATGATTAATAGGTTTTAAGCTCAATAGAATATAAAGACCAACAAAAAAAACAACTAGACAACTTCTTCCCTTGAATCCCATCAAAGAAATTTTCCAACACATATAATTTGTTTTAATGAAGACGGTTATACATATTTTTACTCACTGGAATACCTATTGAACAGAGTAAGGACACTTGAAACCATAATCAAACAAACACTAGTTGGGGTAAGAGAAGAAAATATGGTAATTACCATATAAAGTCATCCAGATTCAGATCTGGATCCAGATCCCCCTCCATCACACGATGTTACAAAATTAAACAAACAGTAATAGACCTTCCGAAAAAGGAAAAAGAATAAATAAATAAATAAATAATTCCCAGATCCTTGGCACCTGGTTGTCAAACAAAGTAAACTTTTTTATTACTATTTTTTTTTTACTCTTGTGTTATTTTAAAATTCTGACTGGCTTCAAATATCTAAGTATATATTGAATAAGGGAGGCCCATAATAATGCTAAATGGTTTCTCAACAAATATATATTTTAATCGAAATTATTAAGACAATTCAATTACAAAAAAACACCAAATAAAATATTCATATTAATTTTTTTATTGAAATAATAAAAATGTCTATAGTAATTAAATTAAAACTGGTTAATTAGATTGTCTAAAGGGTATAATCAAGTTAAACATGTAATTAATTAAACGAATTGATATTATGACACAAACACAATTAAAATTAAAGTAGTGCTATACATCTGAAATAATATTTGACATATTTATCTTGAGTATGATGTGGCCATAATTAAAAACACACAATTGTCTGATATTTATATTTATATATATATATATATATAATAAAAAGGGAGGTTTTGAACTTTACTTTTATACATTACACTCTATTTTCCTTTATTCTTTAAAATAATATAACAATAAGGTCACTCGTAGTATTCTCTCTTTACCGTGTAGTACCTCTGTTTCCTTCCTGAAGATTGTGTGTGTGTACCTCACTTGAAATCCTGGCTCCGTCACTGATTGTAAGAGCAACAAGAATGCAACAACAATAATGTGTGTTTTATTAAAACTTGTGAGATTTGTTTAGTTAGAATTACTTATTAAAGTTTTAAATCTTTCATCAAGCTAATAATGATATTTATATTTGCCAAATTAGAATTGAAGTATTAAAAAAAAATCAAAAATCAAAAATTAAAATTTTGAAAATTTGAAACAATTACTAAAGAAAATTTGATTTTCTTTCTTATATTAGTTTTCCATATATATTTTTTTAGGTTGCAATTTTTTTTTTTTTTTTTGGATTATATATTTTCAATATATATATATATGTATATTTATACACCTACAATGATACAGATAAGATAGAACTCCCATTGTTTGAGATTGAAGCCATGGTTATGTATGCTGAAATAAATGAATGAAATGCGAAATTTGTAGTAGTCAAGCAATTATAAAACAAAAAAAAAAAAAAATTAGAAAGAATTATCTTTTGGAATTTAACAAATGAACTTGGCCTTTTGCTTCCGCTAATCCTTCTAAATTTATGGATGTGATTTTGGATGATTGGTCTTCCGGCTTATTGATTGATATTAAATAATTTTTTTTAGTTATTTCACAATTTTTAATTCAATATGTTTATACACTGTGATTATACAATCACGTCGCAGAATTAGATTACACCATGGAAATAACGGAGTTGGAGAAAATTGTATACACTATTGTACATAATTTTTTTGAATAAAGTACCCTAAAATGTGAATCGTTCAAAAACTGGCTCTAACATGTTAAGGCCTTTAAATATGATATGCCTACCAATTTCATGAGAATAACCAATTTCTTATTTTTATATTTGCATTTTGTATTAATAAAAAAGATTAAATAAATTGTTAAATGGATCATGTGAGATTAATTATTTAATAAATGGATCATATTTGAGTTAACTCATATAATAAAATACTTTTATTTCAATGTGACAGGAATATAAATTTATCACCCCTAAACTCTTTAAAGAAATTCATTGAGATAAATTTATATTGTGTGTCAGCATAGCAACTTTACTTTTTGTTTTTAATTCAGTAACTTAAAATTTTAAAATACAAACTTTATTCTTATTATATCAATTTTATTTTAATTTTTAAATAAAAAAGTATTAAGGTTAATTACATTACAAGGTTTGCCATTATTTTGGTTCAAAATTTCATATTATATTATCTTTAATGGTTATTTCTCTAAAGAAATTTTTTGACTCTGATACGAAGTTCTATTGTGTTTCTCTTAATAATATTCTTGGAAACTTTGATGCTTTGAGTTAGTGATTTCATGTGTAAATATGCCTCAAAAATGAATTTATCAAAAAGAAAAAGAAGACATTTGGTGATCCTCGGCGTTATTCATTGAATTAATAGCCATTAGCCCTGATTGTATAAGCTCTCTCCAAAGAAGGCGACTTTGAATGTTCAGTTCTGATTTATAAGATTGCTAAATGTATGAATTTCAAGAACAAAGTAGAAAGAGTTATTTGAAATTTATGCCCAAAATAACTGCATCATAATTGTTATAATATAAATCACTCATACCTTTGATTATTAGTTCTTAAATTTGAGGATCCAACCTCATTATAAAGTAATATTTGTTTTAACTCAGATTTCGCCCTCGATCATTTCGCTTCCTTGGCACTTGTCACACCAAAGTAGAGATTGGATAACAAATTAATATGGAACAACTATTAAATCTTAATAGTATTAGCCTACCCAAACAAATATTAGCCTACCCCATTGACAATTTATGGATCCGTCCTTGACCACGAGCAACACGTTCCCGGATAAAATGGTAATCAAAGAATGTGCAATAAATTTTGAACCAGGAAGATAGAATCAGCAGCTTGCCAAATTCCCTTCTTGTTCACATTCTCTCTTTTGTTCCTACATAATACGCGGTTAGAACCAGCATAAATCGTTCTTAGATTGGGATTTTTAGGGACTATCCTCCTACCAGAACTGGCAATATATTTTCTTTTAGTCTAATAGTATCTTTCAGAATACTGAGGGTGATATAAATATTATCTATTTCGTGTGCATATATGTATTAACTAATTATGCTGATTTAATTATGCAAATTTAATTTCCTTGATTTAACACATCCAAAAGCAAATACTGATTTTGTATCCCCTTGTGCCTTACCAATGATTTTGTATGAGAAAATTGACAAAGCTATAATTGTGCAGAAAATACTAGATAATAGTGGTTATTGTGAACAGAAAGAGTGGGTTGTGAATATATAAAATATTTTTTTATTTTCAGATAACTGAGGACAGTACAAAATTTGGTAGACAATGAAAGCACTATATCTTTTTTATTGTTTTTGATATTTTCTTAAGTTCCCCAAAATTCTCATTTCATGGCTTAGCATATTATAATTTTGAAGTCATTTGATCCGTTTTTCATCATTTCAAAACCATGGCTTCAATCTCAAACAATCACATATCTTCAAAGGAAGTGGAAAAAGTTTTCAACAAGGGAGATAGAATCAGCAGCCTGCCAGACTCACTTCTTGTTCACATTCTCTGTTTTCGTCCAACAAAGTCTGCAGTCGGAACTAGCATATTGTCACCAAGAATGGGAGCACCTCTGGGCTTCTGTCCCCATTCTACAATTCGACTTGCGATATGTACAGGATGAATCAGATGTGAGTTCTTCCAACTTCATGAACTTTGTTGATCAAGTATTTCTTAATCATGAATTGTCCAACATTCAGTAGGTCTGTTTATACTCTAGAAGATCCGGACCGCGTCAATGTTACTTTGACATTGATATATCAAAAATATATACATGGATAAGTTTAGCCATAAAGCGTGGTGTTCAAGAACTTGATATTAGGATTAAACCACCTAAAGAAAATTTTCATTTACCTTCAAGCTTTTTCACTTGCCCAACATTGGCAGTCTTAAAATTGGGAGTTGGACTAACTTTCAGTGCTGTTCCTCGCTCGGTCCATTTTAAAAGTCTTAAGGTCCTCCATGTTTCAATTGATCGTCCCAACAATGACTTCGTGCAAAATCTCTTTAGTAATTGCCCTGTTCTTGAGGACCTGTTCATCCTAGGAAATGTTGAGAGTGATGAAGAACTTGTATTTGATGTCTCCGTACCGGCCCTAAAAAATTTTAAGTTTCTTTAAAATTTTCTTTTAGCCGGAGAAGAATACAAAGTTTTAGTAGATGCACCGATTCTTGAGTATCTTTCTGTTCAAAATGTTTGGATGCCTTCCTATGTGCTAAAGAACGTAACATCATTGATTGACATGCTGATAGAGTAGTTGTGCTTCTCAGAGGAATTTATAGTGTCAAATATCTATCTCTAGGGCACTCGTATCATGGGGATACTTCTTTTCTTGATCATACTATTAATGTAGAATCTCTTATTCTTTTATATTTGTTGGAATTAACTGTTATTTTTTAAATTTGATTTAGTATATGCAGCACTTTCATTTGACTATTATGTTAATATGTTACCAAGGCTGTCGACTATGTTGATGATATGAAACTGCTTTCGTTCCCTAATCTGATTCGGCTGGATCTCCATTTTCACAATTGCTGTGGCTGGAAATGTCTACTAGACTTGCTCAATAGCATGCCCTATATGAGGTATGTAAGTTGTTGCATAGTTGGCATCAATAGAACTGTTCTTCTTGATAACTTTTCTGTGTGGTTTTCATTTATTTTTTATTTTTTTATTTTTTTGTTGTAAATAAAATTAAAGGGCTCTCTTGAATTGGAGATGTAGGGATAACGAACTCTTACCTTTTGCTGTATCTATTTTTGAAAGAAAATTTTCTTGTTTTTGTTAATTTTATTTACATTGTAAGAACAAATGTCAATTAAAATCGAACACCAGCAGTACTTTAGAGAGGATTAGTCAATTCATAATGCAGTGTTAAAATTAAAATAATAATAATAATAAATAAATAAATAACACATACATGAGAACTCTAGTAATAAGGTGATTTTTCTAAACAGAACAAGGACAACTAAAACTGTGAAATAGTTACAGCCCTCAATGAATACCATAAAACAAAATAATATTAACATAATAAAATTGATGGACATAAAACAACTAAAATAGTAAAGTAAATAGATTTTAAGATTGGAGTTGACGGTAGAATTAGAACACTGAAATAGTAACCACCCAACCCTAAGTGATTACAATGTACCACCACGATCAATCAAACGGGAAAGAGTGTCTCAATGTAACTATGGATACAAGAGTGTTTACGCCACCAAAAACAATCAGACCAAGGATCATACCAAGACGCAACAGGATGGCGTGGTACATCAACACGCTTCTCAAAGGTGTTCTCCTTAATGTTGTAGGAGAT